AGTGCCAGCATCTGTTGAGGGTCTGGCAAGGATCTTTGGCTATATAATTGCAAGGAGAGGGGCATCACACACCCAAACAGCAGTGTGCTAGCTCAGGTATCTCTCTTTTTATAAAGCCATTATTCCAAGATGAGGGGTTCCACCCATACCCATGACTAATCCTAATTACTTCCCAAAGGACCAAATCCCAATACTGTTAACATATGAATTTCCAAAGCATGAATTGTTGGGAAACATATTAAAACACAGCACACATTCAAATACGACCAAGATTTATAAATGTTAAGATCCGGGGCATTTTAATATAGCAGTTATATATTATAGATATTAGTCAGGCTCTATCCACCTCTGCAAACCATCACTCCTCAGTAACCAGCACCTGGAAGTTAGTTTATGTCATACCCATGCATACTTTTAGACTTGAACTACAAATATCCACACGTATAAACACTGTCCATATGCCTCACATTGCTTCCCAAGGTTAAAGAACTTTGCAAATGCAGCATTAAGGCATACCAATTATTTTTCAGTGATGCTCAAAACTGATGCTTCCTCACAGAAATCACAGACAAGCTGCATCAGCTTTTGGGCCATGGGGAGGTGTTTTAAGGTGCTGATGGTCGTGGCTGAGGAGGAAGCTCAGTCTTGAAGTGTTTGCCACACAAGCATGAAGACCTGAGTGTGATCCCCAGAACCCATGCAAGAAAGCTGGATGTGATGACAACATACTTATAAATCCCAGTACCGCGGAAGCAGAAACAGGAGGCATGGACGCATATACACACTGCTGATGTGTTCATTCTAGCACAGTACAGTTGAGCAAGGTTCATATCCTGGCAAGGAGAAATCCAACTTGATCAATAGGACTTTGTAAGGAAATTGATGCATCTATTGGCCAAGGGTTGGGGGTATAGGAACAAGAAATGTGAATCTCTCCAGGTACCTGGGAAGACTGATACCAGTTAAAGTCAGGAGCAGATGAGGGACTCTGGGTAGAGCAAGGTAGTATGCCCTCTTTTAAACTGTTGAGTTAGAAGAGTCCACAGCACACCAGGTAGAAAAGTTCAGGAGGCAGCCAGATATTTGACTCAAAATTCAGGACTGAGATTTGAAGTGGAAATACTTTCTTGGGCTCCTTTAGCATTCAGTGAACTTGATTTTGGCTGCTGGTGTTTGAATGTAAAATGTCTCCCATAGGCTCACGTTTGAATACTTAGTCCCCAGCTAGAGGTGTTGTTTGGGAAAGTTATGGCACCTTTAGGAGATGGAGTCTTGCTGGAGGAAAGGGGTCACTGGGAGCAGACCTTAAGGTTTCACAACCCTGCCCTACTTCCTGTTTACTCTCTGCTTCCTAACCACAGATGCAATGTGACCAACTCCTACCATCATGCCATCCCCACCATGACAGACTGCAGCCCCTAGAACTATGAGCCAAAATAAACTCTTCCCCCCTTAAGTTGCTTCCTGTCAGATATGTCAGAGCAGTGAGAAACGTAACTAATACAGAGTGCCTTCAGCCGTTCGCCTTCCGTGGCACCTTCATTTGAAATAGTACCGTGGTTCAGCCTCACCAGATTTCTATAAAACTGATGTGGAGACAAGAAAACTGAGATAACATCGCCTAATTGTCACATCGACTTCAAAGGTTAGAGTTCTGCTTGAAATCTTTCCCCACTGATCACCTGCTGGGATCTTCTCATTTGTAAGAATATTTAAATCCTCTCTGAAGGTAATTTCTTCTCAGACTTTACCATGTCTTAATAAGTTCATAAATTTCTTTAGCCTTTTTACATTCTTCCTCTTTGCTGAAGCCTCCCTGCTCGGGAAACTTCAAAGAGCCCCTGCCTTTTTCCTGGCTTTGGTGGCAGCATGTGTGTGACCTCTTGGATCCTTCCTTTCCCAGGCATTTGTCTGGGATCCTAATCTTGAGTCTGTGTGCGGTGAAGAGGTTTTGGAGCAATTGAAATCACATGGGCCATTTGCTGCTTGTGGCTCACTGCAGCCCGAGCCTAAGGCCTCCCTAGTCAGCAGCTTCAGCTGAAGGAAAAGCCTTTTTTTTTGCATTAGGGACAGATGCCTACATCTACTCCCAGGCCTTAGTTCAAGGACAGCAAGCTGTCCTAAGAGCCTGTTTGAGATTATTGTAATCTCCCCCAAATGACTCAAATGGCCTGGGAAGAGTTGGGGTGGCTGCTGCTGCTGTAGGGATGTAGATACCCAGGAATGTCCCATGGCCACTCTGCAGTTAGGTGGGCCCCAGAGCAGCTTGCATCTTGGGCATTGGTTTTCTTTCTGTTTCTCTACTTTTTTTTTTTTTTTTGAGACATGCCATTGGCCTTTCCAGGGATGGAACCCAGGGCTTTGTGTATGCTAGGCAAGCACTTTTCAACTGAGCCACATCCCCATGCCCTGTTTCCTACTTTCTTTTCTCGTTCTCCTCCTCCTTGGTCTCCTGTTTATACTGTCTCCTCCTCTCCCTTCTCCTCTTGCCCCTCCCTCTCTGCCTTTTCATCTTCCTTCTCCCTCTCTTCCTTCTCCTCTGTCTCCTCCTGTCCCTCTTTACCTCCCTCTCCTCCTTCCCCTTCTTCCTCCTTGTCTTCCATCTCTGTTTCTCATGCTCACAGATACCTCCATCACGGTCACCCTGAATGCCTCTCATTACCACCTGTCCACCTGCCTTCCCCTCTTCCCTTCACCTTGTTACCTGGCCCACAACTGTACTGACTCAACACTGAGTGACTTTTGACTCTTGTCCCTCTGTGTTAAGGATTCTGATTGCCTAAAACAGGATCTGTTGGTCCCCTTTGGTCTGCCTCAGCCCACTACACTACTGTGGACTGCTGGCCACCCTGGGGCTGGGTCTTCTCAGGTCATACTCAGCCTGGGATGGCCAGAAGGGGAATGAGCAGGGTTACAGAGCCCCCTGCCTGTTCCCAAGGGATGGGGTTGGGGGTAGTCCTGAGAAGACAGCAGGGGACAAATGTTACCAGACGTACCTAGCAAAAGAACCCACAGACCAGAACTCTTCACATTAACTTCTTTCTACCGGGGAGATGATCCTAAACAGGGCTCAGGCTTCAAGCAGAAAGTCTGGGCTTCTGCACTCTGCCCCTTCAAGAGACCACATCTCTGAAATCATGCACTCGGCAGCTTACACTGCCCCAGATGTGGCGTGGAACGGAGCCCACAGTTGAAGCATTTGTTTTAGTCATATGCTGGCTGCAGACAGAGGGTTGCTTATTACCAGCTGTAATTCTGATGCACCAAATAGGGAAATCTGAACTTGGCTGATTTTCTGTTCATGAACACTACTGGTACCTGATTTGCAAGGTTTCCTCTAGAGTCCAGAGTGCTCTGTAGTAGTTACTGGGACAGGGGATGGCAGCTCGAGGCTTACAACCTGTGTCATTCAGAGCCTCCTTCCCTTCTTTGCACTCTGGGCTGCTGGGACCACTCCATGTCCCTTAACAGTCTTGCATCATAAAACTGACTATTATTAGATTTGCCCAGTGTCAGAAAAAAAAGAGGCTTGGAATGGGACAAACCACGTCCCTCTTTGACACAACTGGAAAATATTACAGAACTTGAATCTTTCAAATTAAAAAGGAAAAAGAGAAAAAAAAAAAAACACCCAAACAACCAAGCCATATAAAAATCAGGCTTGTACACCTTAGTCACACACAAGCAAAGCGAAGGGCAAGTAATCTTACTTC